CAAGAGCTAAATGAAACGGCAAAACTGACCAACTTCGGAAACCCCGTGATCCAGTGCTCATGTCAGACATAATAAACCCTTGGTCGATAATGCAAAGTTATGGAGTAGGTACACACCCACTGTACAAGGACGAGATTGTACCGTGACATGGTGTGACTACTGAGTCAAAGCCTCCGGTTAGGGTTCCCAAAGAAAAATCACTTCATTAGTATGCTCCCCCACGAAAGACGTCGTGCCTTAAAGTCTTAGACACGCATTTGGAACATCTCTCCAATCTGTCTAGTTCTTCCAATCAATCACGAATAATCCCAGATGCCTTCTTTTTACGCCACCCATCGGATATCGCTCAACCTTTTATCAGTAAGGCCAAACAATCAGAAGTCATAGGATTTTCGAAGCCGAAATTCCCTTTTCACTTAGTCCCTTTTAACATCCGAACATCCTACCAGATCGGTCAACAAGCTGCCTTAGCGGGAACCATTAACACGTTCAAGTTCAACGTATGTTGTGTCTCCGAAACACGCATACAAGACCCTACCGCAATCATCTCCCTGCGTTCTCCTCATCTAACCTCATACTCACACTCCACTCTTCAGGCGACTTGTCATCCAACGCCAGCGGTATTGCTGGTGTTGGGATTGCGCTAAGTGCCCAGGCTGGGCGATCGGTTCTTGACTGGATTCCAGTTCGCAGCCGACTGTGCGATGTACTTCACAAAGGTTTAGAACGGGTTAACAGCTACAGAACGAGGCGTCGATGCCTATGCGTCAAATCGGGTTATGCACCGACCGATTGCAGTACACCTGAAATCAAAGATGAAGGCTATAATGATCTTTTCCATTATCCCAAAGCTTTCGATCAACTGACATCGTAGTAGTCGCTAGAGACTTCAACGCTCAAATGGGATACCTCGACGACTCAGAAAGAATTTTTTCCGGACTACATGCAATCCCAGCCAATCGAACAGACAACGGAAATCGGTGACTCCAACCGTGCGCTCACCTGTCAAACACCAATTTCTACTACAATAAGCGACACCGAGTTACCGTAAAACCGCGTAGCTCACGACAGCGTTAAACACAGATTGATCAGTTGCCGCCGTAGGTTCAGTTTAGTTCAGTTTAAACAACAATTAAGCATGCATTTTCGTGCGACGCTTTTGGCCGCCCATTCGGGTAAACAATAGGAAGAAAACAGGAAGATAGATTCCGTTGACCTCAGCTACCCTGCTGGACACCCGCCAAACCCGTCCATCTGATGCGACATGACACCGAGCGCAAATCCCCAAAACGCCAGCTCATCAGGAATTTGAGGAATGACCGCGAGAAGTAGTGGATTGGAGAGTGTAAAAAGATGGAGAAAGCTGCGATTATTGTTAATAGTCGCACTTCTTTCCGTCCAATTAAGAGCCCCAGGAAAATAGGCATAAGTGAGGTATTTAGGGAGTCTGACGGCACAATGATCGAACATCAATACATCCGTATTGATCGATGTACTGAACACTTCAAGGCTCAGTCCAACTGGCCCCCATCGACAGCTGATCTTTCACTCTCCACCGCGACTGCGCAAATACTGTCAGTTGATGCTAGTCCTCCATCTAAAACGGAGGTTACCCGAGAAATAAGTTACCTCAAACGGCATAAGGCTTCCGGCCCAGACGGGCTGTCACCAATAGTTTTCAAGGATGCAGGTTCAGTCTTGGTTTCGGAGTTAAGAAATCTCCTAGGCTCATTGCGGGAGAGGGAAGAGGTTCCGGCTGAATGGTGTGAATCGGTCATCATAACGATTTACCAGAAAAACGATAGATCCCCCTGTGAAGACCACGGAGGAATTAGTTTGATCATCGCATCTAAGCTTCTCGCTGGGATCATACTCCGTCGATTGTTTGCCCCACGGGAAGAGTGCACCCGTGAGAACCAGGCTGGTTTCATACCTAGCCAAGGTTGTATCGACCGCATCTTCACTCTTCGCCAAACTCTGGAGCACCGATATTGTTTTCGTCGACCCACCATGTCTATCTTCCTGGATCTGAAGGCGGGTTCGACTCAGACGAACGCTCTAAACTCTGGCGCTGCCTCACTCAAGTTTGTGCCTGAGAAGTTAATTTCAATATTACGATCCCTCTATACTCATAGCCGAAGTCGAGTTTGGGCTTACGACACTTCTTCGCCCGAGTTGACCATGTAAAGTGTTCGTCAGAGTTGCCCTCTCTCTCTTTTTGAATTCAACTTTCCTCGTGAGAGTACAATGACATCGAATTGCTTCCGGAAGGTTGACTATCTGATATGAAGTATACAGACGACATTGTACTGTTAAGTGAAAATCCCGGTAAGTTGCGAGCTACTCTAGATTGTTTGAGTGTCAGCGTGGCAACGTTCAGTGGCCGCTTTGCACCTTCAAAGTGTAAAATGCTACTTCAAGACTGGGTTGGTTCATCTCCCAGCCTCACTCTGACTGGGAGAGTAATAGAGCGAGTGGACAAACTTGTTATTCGGGAGGCTATATCTCCCCTGACGGATGCATCACGGATGAAGTTTGAGCTCGCATACACAAGGCTCGGTTGGCATTTGCCAACTTGAGACATGTGTGGCGGCGCCGCAACATCCCGCTGTCGGTGAAGAGTCGCG